GAAAACTCGCAGGAATATGTTTCAGCTATTAGAACAGAATGATAGAGTTTTTATATTACTGGTTTAAAAACGCACTTCAAAGATTGCAGTGTTTGAAGATGTAGATTCTTAGGAGGCAACAGTACTGTTTACTTCTCCCTCCACTGGACACCAACTAACTATTTAAGTTGATTTGCATACAAAGCTTGGACAAAAGCCAGCTAAGATTTTCTGTTATCTTGCATGTTTTATGAATCTATTCACGTCTAAATGCAGCACTTTTGTTTTTGCAATGAGGCATTTGTTTTTATACTAAAATATCTGAATTACTTTGAATAAAGCTGGAAATTATGTCCCTTAAAATAATTAAACAAATAAGGCACAAATGTTTTTGTAAAATATTTACATCTTTAAAGGACATTCGGTAGACTGATTCCCCACTGTTGGTTCAAACCCAAAACTTGTTTGTATTCAAAATTAATTATGACAATGTATATTTATATTGAAACAAACTATGTTAAAGGGAATTATATTATATAACAAAGGGCAAGGTCACCAGAGTTCAACTATGTTTATTTTATTTTTTTACCTGACGATTTAACATCGGCAAATTACGGTGTATGGTGTATTTCTAGGAGTTTCTGTACACATATGAAGCGAAGGAATCGTTTTAAAACCTTTTTTTTAAAAATGGCGATTATCTCAGTTTCATTTTTTACTCAAAATTTCAACTTTAAAACTATTTAACTTCTAGACGGTTCATTTGTTTTCAATGCAATTTTCAGGGGTCATTATTCAGGTCTATCCTAAGTAAATGGCTTCGTATGGTTTCACAGCGGCTCTGTTAACTGTGAACGATTTATAAAATGTGAATATTTCAAAGAGCACTGTGTATAAACTTTTCAATGGAAGCACTAATAAATAAGCCATTATGTTCCTAGTAAACAGAAGTTTTAAATAAGTGTTTTTAAATCAAAATCAAAAGTTAAATAGTTTTAAGTGCACTTTCACCTAAAATGCATGATTTTAACGCAAAATCAACACCACTTAATATGGTATCATAGTACATTATTGTAAACCATAAAACTCAAAAGTTTAAATAAAACTCTTTCAAATGATATATAACTTGATGGGTAAAACTTATATTTTACTCATGTAATTACAGTAATTAGAGGCAATTAGAAATATGCTACGGGCATTCGGTATGGGGGAAGTGACAAGGATTGACCCGAAATCTATCATTCCAATATAAGGAAATGATTGGAATAAATTGAATACTTAATATTAAAATCGTACATATATATCCCAAAACGATCCTTAAAAAGTTAATGCATTAATCAACGAACTATGTCGACAATTGTCGGGTACCTAAGTTAGCCAGTAGTCCTTATTCAAATATTTACAATTCGTAAACTGTCTTTCCTCTGGTACTGTGGATACAAAATGCAGGAGAACTTTAATAGCCCAGCTTAGTGTTCGCTCGATGAAAACCTTTAATACACTTGTGCACTGATCGTTCGTTGCTCTTTGACGTTTTTTCTACCCCGACACAAGAATGCCACAAAACGGCGCACTGTCATCGGTGTGACGTCATGCGCTAGGTACAGCATTTTAATTTTTGTCTTTCTTCTAGGAACTAGTTGATCTATTTACTGTGGAGATCTCAGTAGACAAGACAAGGGTATCTGCAATTTCGTACTCCAGTTCCAACAAAGTAGACCTAGATTTCAATTTTAGACGCTGCCTATTCGAGTCAAGCAGCGCCAGCAAAACTTGTATTAAGAGTGAAATTGATAAAATCGATTTTGAAGGTACGTTTTTTTTTTTTTTTGTCCGTGTGTCTGACGCGGAACTCTGCTTACACTGTGTATCCAATTATTGACTCGATTAAGGTCATGAGTGCGCCATCGCGCGGTGCGGTAAGGAAGATAGTGCACCAATACGGCCACCAGTATTTAGGCAGCGGCTTTCGAAATACTCCTAGGATTACTCATTATTCAACATTGTAATGTTGAACACGTTTAAACCACGTTTAATTCATTGTTTCCAGGTGGCTCAACGCACACCACCAAAGCTTTAGTGAAGGCCAGAGACGAGGCGTTTAAGTCATTCCACGGTTCACGTACAAACAGTCACAAGGTCCTATTTTTAGTGACTGATGGTCGGTCCAATGGTAATGGCCCGCTTGTAGAGACAGCTAACTCACTGAAAAATGACGGTACGTATTATGGGTTTGACTGGGTGGATACAGAAAAAATCAAGTTAAATGCAGAAGATAACGCATAATTTATTGTGAGTGGAAGAAATTAAAACCTTGATGACTACAAATTCATATGTTTGATGTTTGGGTGCAAAATGTGTGTTTTGAGGCGTATAATTAAAGATTATATTAAGTGACCAAACCGCTGTACGTTGCCTCTGCAGTAACGTGTGTTAAAACGTGCTATTAATAAACGCGAATAAACCACATGCCCTGGGACGAGTTCGGTGGACGAGCATTGGAGTTATAAGGTTATCTATATATTCCAACGTACATTTATAGCATTTCTATAATCTAATCTACCCCATTATCACTTTTGCTTTCATAGATGTCGAAATCTACGCGCTAGGCGTGACATCGGATGTCGTAGAAGCAGAACTTCGCAGTATTGTGTCAGACCCGATACCCGATCATCTGTTCTACTATGATACGTTCAATGCTGTCAGCCAGGGAACCGACATTCTTATAAGTATGGCCAGGGGCGATAGCTTCGGCTTTCAGGATGATGCCGGTTTCTTCGGCATCTCATTTTAATAAGTACGATCTATCAAACTAACGACGGTTATTATATAACAATGAAGTGGCGTTCGTATATGCAATTTCTATGAAACTTTATTATTATTTTATAATATAGATGCACATACGACAATTGCAAACAACAACAAATATTTTTTTTATTTGCATTATATGCTTAATCGTATTTGATATTTGACAATGTACAAAACTGTCTGGGTAACGCGAAATATGAACTTGAAAGTTCTACTGTAATATATTGATTTTTGCAATTTGCGTGATTGTATAACTTATTCTTAGAATTATATTTTATATACTATTTTGATTTCTGTTAGTCCAATTTTAATATTAATGAAGCCAGAAGGCAAAAATATTATTAACCAAAAAACGTAATGTAAATAATGTATTGTTTTCTTTAATAAATAACGTATTTGTTATGTAAATGAGTGTGTGGATATTTTTTCAGCCCCACTATCGACTTTGTCGGGCGGAGCTTATCGTATGAGTGATTGTTCGTCGTCGTCCACCGTACGTGTCAACTCTTTACTTTTTCGACGTCTTCATGAAAACTACAATTCTTATTGCTTTGATACTTGGTGTATTTTAACCTTGGATAGACCTCTCTTAGATTTGTTCATTTCGTGATGATATCTTTGATTCTCTAATTTTGATTAATATTTTTGTCATTTTTTGTGATATTTTCGACTTCTTGTTAAAAACCGCAATTCCGATTGCTTTGATATTATATATAGGTACTATATTTGTACATCTCTCAGACTTGTTCATTTCGTGATTATATCTTCAATTCTCTGATTTTGATGAATATTTGTGTCATTTTTGGTAAAAAGTGATATTTTCGTCTTCTTGTTGGAAACCGCAATTCAGATTGCTTTGGTATTATATATAGGTACTACAGGTAGATCTTTCTCAGATTTGTTAATTTTGTGATAATATCTTTAATTGAAATGTGCATTGTTAACAGCGAGCTATCTCAGCCGAGAGGCTGCTTGTTTAAAATTTTAACAGAGAACAATATCTACGCCTTCACCGCAGTCAATTCCTATACTTATCCGCCCGGACATGTGATTGGTCAAGTTATTTTCAAACGTAATTATTTAATAACAAATAATTGTAAATGCCCATGTCAGGTGAATGCAACCATCCAATCAACGAGCACAGTACGCAACGACGTCATTTTAAAACGCTCCAACGTATATATATAGACTGTTGATTTCAAATAAAAACAAGTTGGGTTTATAATTATTTATAAGGTTATTCATAAATATAAACGTTTTTTTTTTTACTTCAGTGTACTTCTGTGAAGAGACGAGCATGGTCACGTTCTAAGTTTGTTTGCTGCCCTCACCGTCAATAAAGGTCAGGGAGTGAAACAACAGATTGCTTTTTAGTGGTGTACAGAGTCGGAATAGAGTGAAAATCGGTTTCATCTCGGATAACAAGCTTTTTATGACTATCTGAGGTTTTATACATCAAATTGTCACATAAATAAATCCTGTTATATACTATTATATACTCACTCAAAGTGTCAACTGTACAAACGTGAAAGCGTAAACCAACGGTGGCGGTGCCCTTCATTTGTGATCATTGAGGTCAGGTCAATGTCGTGGAACAGAAAATGACTGGCTTGACAGTGCACAGTTTTGTAAGCATCTTCGGCTGGAGAGGGTGCTGTTATGTTTGACATTGAACACCCAAATCACACTAAATTTGCAATGTAAGGATGATGCCTTGCTATTTATGAGTTTGGTGAACATTCGTCTTTGATCTGACACAACATAGCTCATTCTACTGCACTCCGTAGATAGACTACAGAAAGGCACCCTGCAGAACAGATACATTCATCTTTCGGAGACCACTGTTCGGTGATGGTTGCAATATCGCTTCGTTCGGGAACGAAGGACTTATCATAGGTAGGTATTTACATGCTGTATCACCAATTCTCAAATACGCCCCTAATTCGAGCTCGTGTCGAAACGAATGCGTCAAGGTTGCTGGATGCCGTTGACAATGATTTAATGTGCAATACGCCCAATTTCTACTAGTTCTCGGGAGGCGTTGTCAGGTGCATCACTTGTGATATTTCAAAACGCTTAAACACAAATGTTTACACCATTGTAGGGATAAGCCTTCACTGTTATATTTTTCCGCCATGGCGTTGATCCATTTAATGTAATTTGCCTTATTAATATTATTTCCATTGATAATATGGGTTATGTTGTTCATTTCATATTGGGTGATACTTGGTCAATTTCAAAGTGATTCTGTAATAATGTGTTACAGCGGATGCCGAGATAAACAGATCAGGGAATTCGCTGTCTTCTTATCAATTTCTCTTGCAGCATTGCAATGTTCCTAGGAACACTGCCAGCAGTGATTGTTGTATAATTTTTGTTCAATCTCCTCATAGGTCCGTTTACACATAGTTATACAGTAGTAGTTCACTAGCAGCCTTCAATTTTGTGGCCATTCTGATTTATCTCACTACACACGGTCAGTTTTTGGCACTTGATTTGCCTGAAAACATACTACAAAAAGAGGGAAAAAAATGTTCAAATACAAATATTTAGGGGACTACTTTGTGTGGCGCAACATTATTGGAGTGAAATGACACACATGATTCAATGAAAAATTGGGAAAAGCGATGTTTAGTTTACTTATCCAGTTGGGACAGAACTATGGAACACGGTTTTTCACAATATCTTTGTTTAGTTTTCTGGTCAATAATATTTCTTGCTTTAACTGATTTTAAAATTGTTCATAGAACACAAAACACTTTTATTTATTGTTTATTGTATAATCTAATGCCTTGATAACATTGAGAAACCTGCACTATTCTGACACAACACCCAAGATCTCTATATCATATCACTCCTCATTGCATACCCTAATTTGTTAATCACTCACTCTGGTATTGACCGATTCACAGTCAATTCGTCCCAATTCACATTCGTCCCAACACATTCGTCCCACAAGTCGATTCGTCCCAATTCACATTCGTCCCACAAGTCGATTCGTCCCAATTCACATTCGTCCCATCGTCCCAATTCACATTCGTCCATTTTTTTTAATTTGTGGTCAGCATTACGATCTTGAGCAGGGTCAATTTCTATGCCAACTGTTACTGACACGCTAACTAATAACTCCACGTTGCGTGTACGGTGTCTTTGTATTTATTAACTAATAACTCTACGTTGCGTGTACAGTGTATTTGTATTTATTAACTAATAACTCCATGTTGCGTGTACGGTGTATTTGTGTTTAATATTAACTAATAACTCCACGTTCGTTGTTTGGATTTTTTG